AAGGTTGCAGCTTTGATCCCTGAATGGGCCATTCCCTAAAGAGTTGGACTTGATGATCCTTGTGGGTCCCTTCCAAGTCAGAATATTCTGTGATTCTCTGTGTGTCTAAGTTTGCCTGTGCAACCAGCTCTTTGTGTAGGATACTGCATTACCTCTGTCAGAATTTAAAGTGTTGCTGGATTCAGTTTTAGGAAGTGTTTTTCCCATGAAGCTTTCACTTTGCATGGTGTAAAGGATGAATTAAACTTGGCATCTCTGCTCTGTGTGTGGTCCCAGGCTGTGTTTGCTCTGCACTATTGAGATTGCTCTGAAAATGGCATCAAATTCTTCAAAGGTTTTTAGGGTACCTGTCATTATTCTGTCTGGGTTTTCTGCAAATATTAGCACCCAACATCCTTCAGGGCCTGGAGAATGGCAAAATCACCTTCTCCCAAATCTCACTGGCCACTGGTGGACCATTCTTGAGATAATCTCTGCCCAGGATTGTAGCCCAGCTGTCCTGGCTCAGACCAAGGGCTCACGTGGCCTCACCACCTGAGTCAGCACTGGGAATAAGAAATGTGAAGGCAAGAGCATAAAAAGGCACAGAACAGCAGATAGAGATGCTCTCTCAGAATCCTCTCCAGTTTCTGACAGTTTGCACCTTAAGAGTTTCCTCTGTCAAAGTATCTTTGTGTTTAATGGTCCTTTATGAATTTTTCTTCCATGGTTTGCATGAATACCTGGATACTTATTATTCCTTATGCCCTGCATTGAGAAGGGCTTCAAGTCTAACTGCAGCCTCTGTGTCCCATTTCATTTAGCTTTAGTCTATCAATTCATAAATTATCATAATTCCCCCTGGTTCTTGTATTAGAGGTATATTAGAGGTTGGAATAATCTTTACTCACAGGTCAGTCCTGCTTTCAAAGCCCTGTGTTCTCCTTGTGTTCCTTTTTCTTCTAGTAGGAATTGTGGGAGATATCCAGTCTATCTGTGTTCATACACAAGCTCTTCTGGAAATCTGTCCACTTTACAAGATGGTAGAATTTGACTTGTCCTCGGTCTGTCTGTTCAGTGGCTCCTTCACAGCAGGTTTAAGAGGCCTGACCACTTTCCAAAGCTGTGTTGCCTCTTCTTCCCTGTTCTGTATTTAACCTCTGCCCACTAATTCTACTCTAGTTTTAGAGTTTCTCTCAGCTCTCCCCTGTGCTGTGTCATTCATCACATCTCTTGTAAAAATTTGAGGATGTTTGTCACCTTTTTCTCCCTTTCACACTCAAGCAATACTTTTTATACCACATTTTCCTTCCTGTCAGCCCTCAATGTGAATCAGAGACCCCCTGAACCCCCGAAGCTACAGAAGAGCTCAGAGTCTTGGCTTTGCAGTTGCTGCTCAAGATGCATCAAACGTGGGGAGAGCTCACTGAGTTAAACTGTGTCTGCTCAAGGTCTGACTTTGGGACTTTAGCTTTCACCCTACAGCTCTTGCTTTGCTGTTTGCCTACAGACTCCACTCCAGCCCTGTGTGCTCTGTCTGTTCTCCAGGAGGGTGGATGCCTGGCAGTTCTGATGGTATGTAGACAGGCAGTGTTTTGGTATAAAGGAATGTCAAAGGATTTTGTCTGTGGCTTTCAAGCAATGAATGATCTCAGTGTTGTTATGTCAGGCTCTCAAACTCCTCAGTGTCAGTTCCCTCCTCCTTATTTCTTCTCTCTGTGCTGTGAACTTGGGAAACTTTGGTGCATGGGAGCACAGACACTGCATGGAAATGGAGAGGAACCACATCAACTTGTTGGCAACCACCACCAACTTGTTGGCAAGTGCACTTTCCTGGGATGTGGGTGCTGGAATCCCACTACCAGGCAAAGTCCAGGGCTCTGGGTGAGTGTTGTTATTCCCCCAGCTGATATAACAGGAACACCTCTTCTGAGCCAGCACTGTCCCACTGAGTTAGGCAGAGTCTGAACACCCCTGAAGAGATTCTTCTCACCCACTTGGTTTCTAAGGTTTGATGCTCACAGAGTATCGCAGAATCCCAGAATATTCCGAGTTAGAAGGGACACAAAAGGATCACCAAGTCCAACTCTTAAGTGTATTGTCCATACAGGGACTGAACTCACAACCTTGGCATTATTAGCACCATACTCTGATCAACCGAGCTCATCTCAGGGTTCCTGTGGGATTCACAAGGTTCCTTGTTCTTGAGAAGTTTGCAGGTCTCTGGGTGATTCCATGTGTCAGTTAAGTTAAGGATGTGTGAGCACACCTGGAGGTTGTAGGGCCCTGTGAGAACAGAGGCAGAGTTGTGTGGGGTTAGGTCCGAACTGGGCTCTAACTTCAGTACCTGGATAGACTGGGTTGACTCCAGGGAGACCCAGACAAATATCTCTGAAACAGATGTCTCTGAAGTGTCTGGAGGACTCAAATCACAGCTGCAGTGCTTGACTTGCATCCTCCAGCACGAAGGTACATCCCTGACACAAGTATGGTCTTATTCGAACAGCTGAGGGTTAGAAATGTCTGCTGTGGAGCCAGGTGAGTTCCCATCTTGGTCACCTCCCTGGGAGAAAAGTCTTTATGTGTGGACTGGAGTGTGGTAGACAGTGTGGACACGTGTCCTGGTCACTGGCACAGACTTCCTTCTCCTCTCTGTGCCAGACATTGGCTGTGCCAGACACACACCTGCAAACACAGACAGTCAGACTGTTGGACAACTCCACTGGGGAAGAGCCATGTTTTACCAGGAACCTGGGAATGGTGCAGAGATGAAGAGTCTCACTGGTGCACTACTGGGGCTTGTTTGGTACCAAGTTGCTGGAAGCACCAACTTACTGCCCATCTCCACCTGGTTTGTGTTGCTCAAGTGCTGGGCTGGGCAGGGAAGGGCATGGAGAGTCCCTGCACTGCTGGTGGCAGTGCCAGTGGCCAGGATGTCCTCGTAGGAATGCTCCAGAGCTGGCTCCTCATTGCATCCCTCCCTCTCCAGCTCTGCTGGTCTGGCTCCCACAGTGGAGCCTGATTTGCCTGAGTGGGGGAGAGGAGCAAGAACCAACCAGCTCTTCCATTTGTACTCCCTAAACTGCCTGTGGACTTGCACAGAAAACCACATGGTTTGGGAGAGGGGGAAGGTGTTGTCTGCAAATGTTAACGATGGGACTGAGATGTGTCCAAAAGGGAAGGTTCCAGAACGTTTCCATTGACCTGGTTTTGGTATTTTTTGGGTGGGAGTTGGGGCACTCTGTGGTCCTGTGTTTGGCAATCAGGTGCCACCTTTTCTCCCTTTCACACTCATACAGATTTAAGCAATACCTTTTGCACCACACTGTCCTTCCTGAGTCAGCCCTTGATGGGAATCAGACAGCCCTGAGCTACAGGAGAGTTCAGTCTTGGCTTTGCAGCTTCTACTTGAAATGCATCAAAGCCCCTGACAAAGCAGAGGGAGCTCAACAAGCCTGAGTTAAACTGTGTCTGCTCAAGCTCTGAATTTGTGACTTCAGCTTTCCCCCTCTGGCTCTGGCTTCACCAGATCCCTGTTGTGCAATCCCATGGCTGCTCCCAGTGTGTTTGCAGCCCTCAAATCTTGCATCAAAGTAAAATAACTTCTCTGTGTTTTCAAGCATCCTAAAGATAAATTTTGCAAGAAAAATATTGTCTTGCCATAAAAGGGAAAACATTTGTTTCAAAAATTTGTTACATTTTCCAGCTGAGTTACCTGAATACTTAAGTGCATTGCTGTTACATTTGACAGGACATTTTTATTTGACCTTTCCTTTATTTTTTCAGCAAGAATATGTTTTCCAGCAAAACTCATGCTTACTGTAGAAAGGTGGTCATTGATACTGCCTCCCCACTGGACTTTCCTAGTGTGTCCAGTGGTACAAATCCTGGGAAGGACATGGTTAGTGCTTTTTGGAGAGCTGTGACCTGCAGCACCACAGGGTCTCTGTATGGGACACCGGAAGGAACTGGGAACTCACTCTGTGACTGGCAAGGAAACCAAACTGAAGGGGTGTAGACATGTCACAGGATCCCAGGATCCCAGAATAGATCAGGTTGGAAAGGACAGTGGCTGGTCCCATCTTCCTGCTCTAGCAGGGCCATCCCAGAGCACATGGCACAGGATTGTGTCCAGAGGGGTCTGGAATACCTCCAGTGAGGAAGAGTCCACACCCACTCTGGGAGAACCTGTTCAGTACTGGGTCACTGCCCAGCAAAGAAGTTCTTCCTCCTGTCCAGGTGGAACTTCCTGGGCATCAGTTCCTGCCCGTTCCTCTTGTGCCATTGCTGGGCCCCCCTGAGCAGAACCTGGGCCATCCTCTGCCCCCTCCCTGCAGCCCCTGACACACCCTGGGGAGGGCCTCTCTCAGGGTCTGCTCTGGAGGCTGAACAGTCCCAGCTCCCTCAGCCTTTCCTGCTCCCAAGAGATGCTCCAGTCCCCTCCACATCCTTGTCACCCTGTCATGGAGCCAAGAGAACCTTCCCACCTGGGGTTGCTGGAGACAACACACTTGCTTTTCCTTCCTCCCCACAGCATTGCTGTGGTACTTTGCCTTGTTGTGTGGTGGAGATGGGATACAAGATCTAATCTGTAGTGATTAATCTTCTGAGCTGGTAAAGTACCAGGAGCTGCAGCTTTCCAAATATCCTGCCCTCCAATTACCTTTCCGTGGCTGCCATTTGAGAATCATCATAGAATCCCCAAATGGTTTGGGTTGGAATGGACCTTTAAAAGCCACTGAGCCCCACGCTCTGCCATGGGCAGGGACACCTTCCACTAGAGCAGGTTTCTCAGAGCTCCTGTCCCACCTGGCCTTCAGAGAATCCCAGAATATGCCAAGCTGGAAGGCACCCACAAGGATCATCCAGTCCAAGTCCTGGCCCTACACAGGCCCATCCCCAAGAGTCACACTCTATGTCTGAGAGCGTTGCCCAAACACTCCCTGAGCTCTGCCAGGCTTGGTGCCGTGACCATGAAGGATCCATAACCTCTGCTTTTCCTCCTTCCTTTCAGCCTGACCGGGAAGGAAGCCCTGACCCACTTCCCTTCTCTGGGGCCCTCCCCGGGCTCTGCCCAGGGCAGGGTGCACGTCAAGCAGTGTGACCTGCTCCAGCTGTCCCGCAAGCAGAAGCGGCTGTGCCGGCGGGAGCCAGGCCTGGCCGAGACCCTGCGGGATTCCATCCGCCTCGGGATCATGGAGTGCCAGTTCCAGTTCCGCAGCGAGCGCTGGAACTGCAGCCTGGAGGGGAGGACCAGCCTGCTCAAGAGAGGTACAAGGTAGTTGGTTGGCAGGGAAACTCCCGGTGCTGCAGCCCCTGGAATGTCCATCTCAAATCAAGCCAAGGGGGTTTGATTGGCACCAGGGAGTGCCCAGGGTGCCCAGATCATCCATTTCACCCAGAAACGGGCGCATCGGGCCCCTTTACTGCAAAATAAGCTTTGTCCTCGTGTTTCCTACAGGGTTTGTCATGCATTGGAGAGTAGAAGGAAGTTGTCACCCTTGGCTTGTGGATTTTTGCCCAGAGTTCCCTGGGCTGAGCATCCTCCTCAACTGGGAATCAGGGTGATACTGTGGGAAAAAGAGGCAGTGCTTGATGTCAAGGGATGTTTTAAGAAAAAACTCTTTTTAGGTCTTCGGATATTTATATTTGTTATTCGCAGATACAAAATTTATACCTATTTTCTGTTTGTCAGCATGACTGTTTATACCTGCATTTCAGTGCAAGTTGTCAAATCTTTCCTAAGACTCCTTCTATAACTTTGGAGTTTTTGTAGAAGATCAGGGTGGACAGAAGAACCATTGGCTTCCGTTTCCCAAAATGCTTTAGAGGAAGAAAATGTCCTTAAATTCTCTATTTGAGGTAGGAAGGAGCACAACAAATCCTTCAAATTATAAGAACTTGAGAAAAATAGAATGAATTAAGACAGACACTGAAACCATTTCTTAGTAAAAGTATCTTTGCTAAACCTGTCCTGATCCAAACAAAGCCTCATTATGTGTTACTGACTTTCAGCCCTTCAGTAACTTTTAGTGGCATTTACTAAACTTCATTCTTCAGAATTACTGAGTTTCAGTCCTTTAATAATGTTTAGCAACTTAATGTTTTTTTAAAAAGAGCCCAGACAAACCAAAATTAAATTTGATGAAAATAAATGCAAATTTTAATTAGCATTTGGATTGCAAATTTTTAACATTTTCATTTAAAATTATCAATTTTTATTATATTAAATATGAAGTTAATATTTTATTAAACTGGCACATATGGGGTCAGATTTACCTCATTGCAAGACTCTGTTGTGATTTTTTTTAGCACATGAAAGCAAATTTCTTTAGTTGAAGAAGCTGTTCGTGATAATTTTGAGTGTTTTTCTGACACCTGCACCTTCATCAGCCTCAAAGAACTTGAAAATGACAATTGAATAATCCTTCTCTTCAAATAGCTGCAAAACATTTCATTATCTGGCGGTGACAAGCCTTAACATTTCCAGGGACTCCTGACTGACAAAATAAAATATCACCTGTAATTTAAAACCTGTTTTGGTAGATGAGGAGAAGTGTTTGAAAACTTTTATTACACAATCTTAAGGCTCAAATGATGATTCAATACAGCAAAGTATGCTGGTTGCCCTTCCTGGGTGAGGGGACACTTGGTTGGGAGCAGCTGTTGGTTCTCATTTTCCTTCAGCTTCCAAAGGAGTTTGATTCCTTCACAAAGAACAGGAACACTCTCAGCTGCCACTTTTGGTCTGTTTCTCACATTTCTTGGAAATCTCTTGGAAATTGTTGGTCAGACAATGGACTCCTCTCCTTTCACTGAAGTTGAAGAGTTTTAGGAATGATCAAATCATTTGATATCTCCATGGTCCCAGAGAAACCATAAAGAAAAATACACACTTTGAACAGTCTTTAAAGGTCTCACAAATGCACGAGAGTGAAGAAGGTCATGTCCTAGTGAGCTGTGAGGGGTGAAAAGCCACACTCAGATGGCAGTCCCAAACTGCTGTGACTGAATTGGATCATCAATGTTTTTTCTGCTTCTAGAGATGAGGAAAAAACCAAAAAGACCAAGGGCTTTCTAGTCCTTGAAATACCAGTCTGCACTATTTGTTGTTCTGGATACTTCTCTGGATACAACTGGGAAACCCCTTTTGCATAACCTACCACTCCTCTGTGACCACTGTCACTTATGACAGCTGTTACTATTCACTGATCCATGCAAAATCCTTCTGCATTTCTTCTCCACTTCCTTAAAAATCCATGGTAAGAGTTAGATTTAAAGTGATTCTGGAGAGACATTTCAAGCCACCCTGTTGCATGGTGGCAGTTGGTGTCTTTGTAAAGCACTGATGGTCATTTGGTGTCCCAGGAGTGCCATAAAGGTTGCTGGAGGTCAGGTAAACAGAATTTCATCTCAAAGAAGATGGTGATTCATGGAAGACAAATAAAATTTGAGCAAAGAGCTCAAATGCAGGCACTCAAAAAAATCCTTCTTGGGAATTGAGCACTCTACAATCCTTCCATCCAGCAGTCCATTTCTTGGCCTCATGCTGGATTCTTTGACCTTCAGGCAGTGGTTTCATTGATGTCATGAGGAATCTAGGGATGGTACAGCAGTGGAGTGGTAGCTCAGAGACGTGGAATTTCCACCATGGGAGATTTTGAGAACTCAGCTGGGGAAGACCTGAGCAGCTGGCACTGAGTTAGCCCTGTTTTGAGCAGGAGGTTGTGCTAAAGACCTTGAGAATCCTTCCATCCTAAATCTTTCTACAGTTCTTTTTTGATTGGTTGGTTGGTTTGTTGATGTGATTGTTTTCCCTCCTCCACTTGCTCTGAAACACTCACTTACCTTCACTGTAGCACTGAAAAATCATTGCCCATGAACATCTTTCCTTTGGCAGAACCAGCCCATGGCCGAACTCCTCCTGTTATAGTTTTCCTTGTGGTCTGGAGCACACCACACTGAGAACAGTGGTGACATTGCAGCAAATATCTCTCTGTATTTACAGGCTGCTGAGCTCAAAAATCCTCCCAGAGAGCTCAGGGGAGGACTTGGACCCGTGCAAGGTCCTACTGAGGGGGCTGGTTTGCTGCAGCATCTTGAAATTCCTTCTGTGCTGGATGTTTGCAACCAAACTGCCCAGCAAACACATCTCATGGAGATGTTCTCCCTTGCCCCGTGTCAGATTCCATTTGGTCCCAGTCAGTGGGGTCAGGGGAGTGACTCATCCCCAAAGCGGGTCCTGACAGCCCGGCATCGGCTCCAGGCTCCACTGGCTCTGGTGACAGAGGGAGGAGGGATACCAGGACACATGGGGAAATCTCTCTCAGATCTTAAATCATGTTCCTTGCAGCTGATTGCTGCCCATTTGTGGTATGTCCTACTGAAAATCCAGCTGCTGCTCAGTTACATGTTGATATTCCACAGGGGCTGAAGGACCTTTCAGTTCTCCCTTTACTCGTGTGATTTGTAAATTAACCATTAAATGGTGATCGATCCCTTAGGACAAAGAACAAGGAATCATCTCAGACTTTTTGGACAAGCATTTGGCAGCCTGGAGATGTTGAAGCTTTGTCTTAGGAGGAGGTGGGAGGGGTGGAGAAGGAGATGATTTGAAAGCCTGCTTGGTATGTGCAGTCCTTGCTGTCTGCAGTGGCCTGACCACAAGCCATGGTCTCTGATTTCCAGTGGGTTGAGAGCTGGCCAGCACTTCCATGGAGTGCCACAGGATAACCAAAGCATTGCTGGTCAGAAATAGCAGGAGCAGTGTGGTGTTCCACAGAGCCAGATTTAGAAGGGGTTGAGGAGCTGCCGGGGCCTGCTGCCTTCACACGGTATGGGAAAGGCTTTCTGGAATGTTCTCCTTGCTTCTGGGATCAGAGTGTGTCAGAGAGGAAACTGGGAATCTGGTAAACATTTGGAGATCGGCTTCTGGAATGATTTAACAGGTTTAGGATCTCAAATATATTTCACCCTCTCTTAGCTCCTTCTTTGGCGTGGGTTGGCCACTGTTGAAAATGTGCGAGCACCACGTTGCTGTCCATAGTCTGTACTGGCTGCATCCCACACCAGCTTTTCTAAAACTTTTGATGGATTTGGTGACATCCTTTCATTGTTTTTCCAGTACCCTGAGAAATTTTATAGAGCGTCATCAACCAGAGAGACTAATTGCAAATTATTGTCCCAGTACTTACAGCGACCAAGATGGTGAGGCAGGAAGGAGTTTGTTGGTTGATCTCCTTATCTCCTCCATATTTTGACTCTCCCCTCATATCCATACTGTTGCTGGATCTTTGTCTGCAGTTCTGCAATTCCAAAGAGCTCCTATGGAGTGTGTATTGAAGTCGGTAATGCAGCCTCTCCACTGTGCTCATGGTCAGTCACACTTCTCATTCTTCTTGCTGACAACTATCAGGAGAGCTCTGTGTCCTGTTCTTGGGTCAGATTTGTGGTGGCGTTACTCAGATCTCAGCAGTCAGTGGCCTGATCTCTTATTACAGCTTGATGGGAATTCTTTGAGGGAACAGAATAAGGGAAAGATCTGAGGATGGACTTGATGAATTCTAGAGGTGAATTCCAACCTCTGCTCCAAGCAGGTAACTGTAAATCTAGATCAGGTCTCTGTGGTTGTCTCTCTCTCTTCCATTATTGGAGGAAACAGATTTTCCTTCTGATGTGGAAGGAAATTCAGAATTTTCCCATGTGGAATATTTGTTTGCTTCAATATGTTTTCCTCCTTGCAATGTACCACCACTCTATTTCTCATAAACCAATTTTTTTTCTATTTTGGCTGATCTTACCTATTCCTGCACTCAGAGCTGTTGATCGGTCACCCGTCTCTCTTCCTTGCACTAATTCCTAAATTGTGGACTTGTTAAACAATTTCTCATTAATAGTTTTCTTTTCTACAAACGAACTGCTGAAAGAATATTGAGATTGTCCCCAGGAATGAATAGACAAAGAGGTAAATATAAATGAGTAAATAAACTATTTTGGGGTTTAGGTCAGGTTTGTGTCAATCAGAGTTTCTGGAACTTCTGTGGAGCTCCTGGGTGTCGTATCAACATTCCCATTCCTGTCTGATCTCACATCTCCAGGCTGGATTTCCATTCGGTCCCTGTACTTTGTTTCCTGGTTAAATGTCCTGGTGTGCCATGGTCACACCAAGACCTCAGGGATTGTAACCAATCCTGAGAAGCCTCCTCTGGGAGGAGAACAGCTTCAGAACACAACCTACAGTCACTGGGAGTGGATAATTTACAGGGAATTCAGGAACCCCACTCACATGTGGGAGAGTTGTCCTTCTTGCCAAGATGTCCTTCAACATGCAACCCTTGCCAGCCAAACTACACGTGATCTTTCCATGGGAAATACCACAACAGTCCCAGTTAAAAACATGTTTGAGTAACAGGCCAGATTTTAAAAATATTTCCCCAGTCTCTACTCCATATTTGCTGATTTTAGGCCACCCCATGATTTCAGTGGCAGTTTCTATTCACACCCCTCAGCCCGTGGGGAAGGTGAGCACAAACGGAGTTTCACGGCTGTCACTTTTTGCAGTTGGATGTTTTCCCAGCCCTCCCTTGATCCAGGAGTGGTCTCCTGTCCATGTCACAGAGTCACAGAACATGTTGAGTTGGAAGGGACCCACAAGGATCATCGGGTACAGCTCCTGGCTCTGCAGAGGCCCATCCCCAGGAGTCACAGCCTGTGCCTGAGAGTGTCATCCAAACACTCCCAGAGCTCTGGCAGCCCTGGGGCCGTGACCACTGCCCTGGGGAGTCTGGTCAGTGGCCAACCACCCTCTGGGGGAAGAACCTTTTTCTAAAATCCAACCTGACTCTGCCCTGACATATCTCCATGCCATTCCCTGGATCTTGTCCCTGGTCACGCAGAACAGAGTTCAGGGTCTGCCCCTCCTCTGCCCCTCACAAGGAAGTTGTATTGAACCAGTCACAGCCATGGGGTGAGACTGGGGTGTCACTACACCAGTTACTTCAAACACGATGTGGAGTTTCTCTGATAGAGTGGTGTGCAAGTAAAGAGTTTAATCTCTTTATATTTATAATTAATGTAATTATTGTGCTTAGTTTTTTAGTCCATGCACAGTCAGGAGAACCAGTGAGGTGGCTGAACACCATATTTTACCTTTTCTGCTTCTACCCTCTCCCTGTCCTTCTTGTGTGCAGGTTTTAAGGAGGCTGCCTTCCCATCTGCCATGTCCCGTGTCCCTCACACACTCGCTGGGTTTTGTGCCTTCGTATCTGTGATTATTGTGCTTGGCTTTAGTCATGAAGAGTCAGGAGAGCCAGTGAGGGAGTCTTCAATCTTTTTATTACTTTGCCTTTCTTGGTCTTGCTGTTTCCTAATCCTTGTCCCACAAAGGTTTTAAGGAGACTGCCTTCCCCTCTGCCCCGTCCTCTGTGTCCCTCGCTGGGTTTTGTCTCTTTGTGTTTATAATTGTCGTGCTTTGTTTTAGTCCATGGACAGTCAGGAGAGCCAGTAGAG